CTTCTTCTTCTTCTTCTTCTTCTTCTTCTTCTTCTTCTTCTTCTTCTTCTTCTTCTTCTTCTTCTACAGAAGGATTTCTATTTACAGAATATTGTGCACTTCGCACCTTCTAACACATTACCATCGAGTTCACACCAAAAAGAAATAATTCTTGCGACATTCCTTGAAGAAATGCAGAGGCCTTTTTCAGTGAGATTAAACACGAGGGAAAACACAACATTTTCCTAAGAAAATTGAAGTGTGGGATCTTCGAGGTACATCTTGTATACCTTCAAAAGAAAAAAGACCCCCCCCCCCCGGCCCCAAACCAAGAAACAAAAAAAACAAAAATGTTAAAATAATTTAACAATGTACTACCAAAATATGTTGGATTCGGCGAGAGCAATTTTCCCGCTTAAGAATAGATCAGTTCATCGCTATCCTTTTAAACATAATAATTACAATTATATATGTCAGAGGTTTCATGGAGTATCACTTTAAGTTGAACAATATTTTCGATTAAATCAACCAGATATTGACAGATTTTCCCAAGTCATATTTCTGTGCCGATTATCTGGATACATAATGCTTAAGTCACCTTGCGGTTCACATATTTTGAGCTTTTGCCTGCCCATTGTGGTCTGGCAATCAACAAGATGTGGATGTCTTTAATGGCAGTACAACTTAAAAAACAGAATATGGCATGAAAGATACATTCAACCGCAATGAAAGTTAATGTTCATGTGGCACGGAAGCGGTCTTGCCGCTAGAGCAATCAAGAGAAGACGAAAGCGAAGGAAAAGTGAATAGATAAAAATTGTTGTATTTTGGTTTCAGCTAAAGTGGAACTCTTCGCCCCTTTGAAACAGTACTCACACACCAGTATGCTTGGGAATAAAAAGAACAATATTATCATTACCAGTCGCACGATCCATTACGGGAACCCTTCCTTGCCCCACACGCACTCTTCAATCTGAGGGGGGATTATCGAGGGAAGGGGAGGCTGACAGATATTGCCGGTTTGTTCTTTTGATGAGAATAAGAGGACGGGGACCAGGAGGGAGAGTGAGAGGGGAGGGAGAGAGAGAGAGA